CAATTTACGCTTTAAACTAAATTGAAATAATTAAGAGTTAACTAAAATTGTAATCATCCCCTTCAAAAAACTTTTTCTGGAGTCGCCCTAGCTTTTCCTCTCAGGCACATCTATCGAGGCGGCGCTGCAAGCTTCAGCAGAATGGATCTCCGGCAACAGCGCTTTACTCGCTCCTCCTAACCAAGACCGACGCCTCCTCTCGGGATCCTAAAGTTCCCGAAGAATCTACTTCTACGAGAAAAAACTTTCAGAAACTCGCCGGTAAATGTCACCGGTTGTATTGTTCTCTTTCTCTGTCGTGATGGATGAGTTGAGTCGAGTTGGTCCAATCTCCCCCGTCGGTATGCTGCATTATGCAGATATGAGCTCCTCTTCCTCTCAACCATGGATGGTAAATCCTTCAGAGTTGCAATGCCCTCAACCTCCGGACCCTCCGGATCCACCGGATCCGACTCTCTTGTGACGCCTTACCTTCTATCCAGGTCACTCTCCGCTCGTTATAAACGTTCTCACCCTCCATCGATGCGATATCAGTGTATATGCAGAGGAAACAAAGCTTTCTCCCCTCGTTGGAAATATATCTCAGATGAAACTCCGGTGATGCTCAGATCAGTATCCGTCGCGATTAAAACTGGTCGAATTCTTCTCGGTCAACTTCTGCAAACACCCTGGACGGAGGAGTCACCACTCTTCTCTCCCGACGTGTCTCCTCAGATCCAGAAATCCTCAAGTTTGGGCCTGGCCCAGTTTGCATCATAAACTTGTTACCCCCTTCGGCCCATCAAAACCCATATCATGTGTTACCCCCTTTGGCCCATCAAAGCTCATATTATGTGATGCCTGTTACGCTTGTTACTCTGCTAATTTTCAAATTATCTACATTTTCTCTACAATGCAGTTGTACTCAAGCAAGATGGTCAAGCTACGTTGGTGGATCTGGCCCACTTTATTACTCATGGTTATTAAACTTCTCTCTCAGCTTGACATATACATTTGTACTGTGAAATTCATATTTGCTCTTGAGCTTGATATCTTCTCTTTTCTAAAATTTTCTGGATTCTCAAATCCTGTAATTTACTCTCGGTGGAAGAGTTTAATTCCACCTTCTTCCATCTCTTTGAGACTGGTCGTATCTTCTTCCCTCTCGTGGAGAGTGGTCGAATTCCCGAACTTTATGCCGGGATCTTCAAAGTCACATTGTAAAGTGACCAACCTGAGTCTCTCCGGCTTTGCCGCAAAGACACTTTTTTGACGCATCTAAGACATGCCTTTGATCCGCTGTCCATCTTTAGCGATGATCTATCTGCTCTATGTGTTATTGCATTTCAATTATGTTGTAGTAATTTTGGAGGATGTTTAATTTCCTCTCTTTGTATTTTGATTGTTTAAATGAATGAAAGAAGTTTGTTGACAA